CCCCCCACTGAAGTCAGTATGCAAACATTGCAGCTAAGTAGTTTGTCGTTCTTTGTGGAAAACTTCCCCTTATGTCAGTCATTACATCTCCCTGAAGCATCCATGCTGAACATATGGTAGCTTTTATGATGTCAGTGTAGTGAAATCTTTCTTGTTTGTGTCCCTCTTTAGGTGAAGGATCTGACAAAGTTTTTGGATCCAAGTGGGCTCGGTGTCATCAGCTTTGAAGATTTCCACCGTGGAATCTCTGCCATTAGCAATGGAGGTGAGTCATCGCGCATCTCCTTTTGTTTTCCTTGTAAACTTGTTCCTTAGTACCCTCTTTTTGTGGACCCACTACGTCTGCTTGTTTCAGACACTTGTGGTACAAAAATCTCTTGAGCTACCCCTTGCCCCAATTTCTTTACATTTTGTTTCCAAAGAGCCAGACTTGTCCATTTCAGTCCAGTCTGACCTTTATTTTGTGTGTATGTGTGAAGCCACTTAACAATAATCTATGAATTATTCAAGCATTAAAAAAAAAAACCCTGCTTCATACCTGAGCACACATCATTAGAGATGGCATGTTGCATCCTGAGTTTCTCATTCAGATCAGACACAACTCCTAATCCTCTCTTTGTGGGTTTGTTATAACATCAAAATTAAATCTTATCCAAATATTGAATTAACGTTCACATTTGCTCAAAAGTGGACATCAATTCAAAGAGAGAGTGCTGGGTGTGTAGTGATGTCATTGCAGCAGTGAAACTGATGCCTCAATCTGCCCGGACTATTGATTTGAAGAACTCATTCCCAAGGCTTTCTAGGTTGCATATATCCAGTTTCTCAAACCATTAATAAGTCATGCACTGGAAAGTGTTAGATGCACAGACACATGGGCTGACTGGTGAGGTTTCAGAGCGGGATTGGCAGAGGGAGAGATGAGGTTTGGGCAGAGCGTCCTGTTCATCTTAATTATTTACAGTCTTCTCTCTCTGCCCTGTCCTCTCAGTTTTCCCCACTATATTTTTCTCCCACTAGTCACTACTGTTGATGCAGAGTACAGTGATGAAAACACAAAGAAAGGACAGATACTGCCTATATTTGCATCCAAGGATAAATATCTCAACGTAAACTCTGCTTTTGTGTACATTTTCTTACTAGATGCTCTTATTTCACTGCTCAAGCAGTCTCAAGTAACTGGTTTAATAGGCAGTTTTTGTGCTCCTGTCATTTGAGCAGAGTCGTTCTGGTTTGTTTTGGTGTTTTTGTTTGATTAGTGCACATACCGTATTCAAGGAACAAGGATGATATTGTTGAAACTGGCCACTAGTATTGTCCTGTGTTTCCCTTACTGCCTCTCCATTACTTTAGGTGCGTCTAGCTCTGTGGTTAATGAATCAGTTTTTTCCTGATTCATTAACCACAGGAGAAAGTTTCTCATTGGTGTGTGAAGATCTAACTTCCCAAGTTGCTCACACACTGCTAACAAAATCACAGTGTGCTTGTCACTTTTCAGCTAAACTATTCCTATTTAGAGCCACTGCATCCATGTCGTATTCATTACCCCAGCAGTGACCTCCTCTTGTTGTAAACGGAGGCCAAAATCTGCTCCCTCGGGTCCCAGCCTGGCGTATACGTTCATCATAAGCTTCACTCAACTTTCTTCTTTTGTTTCCATTTTTGGATCACTCCTCACGGAAAATTGTACCTTTTTAATAAAGGGAAGTCTGCAGGCTATGGAAATGCCTTGTATCCCATAGTGGCTGTGGCATGTCTGGAACAACAAAACATTGCCTAGAAATATTTGTGCTCTGAAATTTTTACATGATGCCAAAAGACTACAGGTGGGCAGCCTGCTTCTCAGGCCCATTCTTTGTGCACTCCTTTCGCTTCAATAGCCCACAATGTCTGAGTCTCCAAGAGCAAAGGGTTGCATAAAAACCCTTGGGTCTACTGCCAGGACACTGTTTGTGTTCTGTTCTCCCAGCAGGGCGCTATTCATTCCTCTGTTTACTAGATACGGAGCCGCAATGGCTGATGGGACTGTCGTTGGTCCGTCTCAGGTTGCACTGTTGGTGCTTTCAGTGGAGGGTTTTATTGACAAATATAAAGTGGATATGGTTGCTTGTTGCCCTTTTTACAGTTTTATTGTACCAGTCGCTTGACATTCTGTAGCCCCTCAAACGTCTGTAAAAGTTACATAATGTTTGCTGTCAAATCACTCTTAGATTGCTGACTGTAAATATACAAGTAGGGCAGCTCAGGTGTAGACTCTGAAATGTGCTGATTAAAATGCTTAAGTCTGTTTTTCTCCCCCCTCTAAAAGTCAACATTTAAAATGAATCTTTGTTAACGGTGACACCTTTACTCATTTGCAAATTGAGGCTAATAATTTAATTAAATGGAGGTTTGTTCTTTTTACCACTGTAGGGAGAAGCAGGTTTCATGGTTTATTTATAAAATAAAAAAAAAGAGAAATGTTCATGTAAACTGAAGACTGACATTTTAATAGAACCAAAGTAAGGCTCGAATAGATTAAATAAATGCAGTTTTGTTATTGTGCTGTGCATGTAAGGGGAAACAAAAGCTGACAGGCTCTTCAATTTTAATCCCAAATTGTGCACAACATATGTTACATAAACACCTGAATCCCTTGGTGATAATTTACCTGCACACTTGCAGGTATTTAGTATAATGTCTTTTTTTTTCTTTGATTGTATTTTCCTTCAGTTGTTTCATACAACTGCAGAGACATAATCCTGCATCCTCGCTCTCTGCTTTCTCATGGACATTGTACTGTGCAGACCAGTCTCGTGTTTGTTGAGCCTTCTTTTCTGTTTGGCTTTGTTTGTTCTGTACACATTAAACCTGTCTTCCTCCTGTCACATCTGCAGGCCCGGAGCCACAGCTATACAGTGTAAACTACAGTCCAGGGGATGGAGCTGTCGGCTGTCAAGAGGAGTACGATGAGGTGAGGAGCCATACAGGGAGGCTTAGTCGCTCTCAAGTTGTGCATGCAGTCCAGCTGTTGTGCTGTCAGTTCCTGGTGGTGCATGCAGCAGCACAGTGTGAAGCTTGCAGGCTGAACTCCCTGTGCACTCTCGCTCTTCCCACTGTAATTCACCGAGTGGCTTGCAGAGCTATCATTACTGCTCTATGAATGCTCCACGGGTTGAACACCCTGGTTTGGCTGACACTAAATAGCATCTGGCAGGCGAGGCTTTTGAGTATTCTTTGACAAATATTGAATTAGCTGGAATGTGAGCTTGTTTTCATGTCTCTGGACTTCTTTTTTTTCTTTACTGTTGTGGGCAGCATATCTAGAATTCCTGTCTTCTCTGGTGTATGAAACTTGTATATTTAACAATCATTTTTGCTGGCCTCTGCAGAATTGAAAGGTTTCTGCTATTATGTGTGCCTCGAGCTGTGCTGGAGGACGACTGTTGTTTTAGTGGCTTTACAATGCATGGTATCGGCGCCCTCTCTTGATGTTGTGTAGAAGTGCAGTCACGTATGTGAGAGACTGATTGAATAAATATTTAAGCATTCTTCACAAATACTAGGATATAAAAATAAATAAATAATAAAAACAGAATTGATCTTTGTACTTTTTATTTTGGCTAATCTAATTTGAGCACAATAACTGTTATAGAGCTTCACTTGATTGACAGCTGAGGCTTAAAATTACAGTCATGGCCTTGTTGCAAACTAAATTTAAATGCATTAAATGAATCCACTAGGTTGACAAGTTGCTCTGCACAGTAAGGGCTTTACATGTGAAAGCTTGGTTTTCACCTGAGTTGCTTAAGGTTTATTTTCAGATGAGGTCTTGCTTTTCGTAGATGTGAGACTTCTCTATAGATGACAAAACATGCCAGCCAGTCAAAGGGAAGGAAGCGAGAGGGCTCTACATGTTTGCAAAGAGAGGGGGGGAAAAGATAAGAGATACTGCTGGTGGGAGCAGTGTTTTATTGTCTGGCCATCTGTGAGTCTAGATGGATTCACACTTGTTGGAAAGCTTTTAGTTGTAGTTAAGAAAGCAACTTGTTATATTCTTTAAGGAAATGAGTGCACATAAACTGGGTAGATGACATACTTGCATGGGAATCATACTTCTGCATCAGGTCTACACTGTGACTTAAGCCATAACCAGAACCACATTTTAATCCCACACCACAACCTTCTCTAAACCTGATGTGCACATCCTGAGAAATGCAACTACACGTCGGGTCGACGTATACCAGAACAACTTGAGTAAAAGGTTGCAGTGTAAGGATAAGAGGAGTTTCTGGTTGCTACATTAGTTATGACATAGATTTCCAACAGAAGTCTTATCAAGCTTCAAAGTACTTTTTTAACAGGGACAAAGCCTGTTATGAATTGTATTATTTCTCAGTGTTTTTGTCTTGTCATATCTGTTGATTCCTTGGATGTTTATGGGTGATTTCTTTTTATTATTTTCCAAAAATAGCCATTTGAATTACTTACTACCTAATTACTACCAATAGATGCGGCTATTTGAAAATAACTGTAAATTATCATCACCGAGGTGAATATACCCTAGCTGTAGCAGTCCACGCAGTGTTAACTGTTTTTGTTTTATTCTCTTTAGACTTTGGTTCCTTGTTTTTATTCTTGATGCAATTATCTATAATATTTTTTCTACTTAAAATATCCCAGCCGCTTTGGCTGCAAGTTTTTGGAACCCATAAGCAGAGTCCGGGGGTTTATTCTGTGAATGTTTGAAGGCGACGCCACACCTGTGTCCATGGCCTTCTTTTTTTCCTCGAGTTTCTGGCAGGAAAAAGTTCCCCTTGCTCTCGCTCTCTGTCAATGGCCGTGCTGTTCTGTCCCTGTTTGCTTTCAAAACAAGCAAGGTGAAGCTGTTCAGCTCGAGCCTGGCATGAGAGAGAAATGCAACACCCAGTCCACCACATTTTTCCTTTATTAAATAACTTCTGCCCTTGCTGATGTTCACATTTCCACCTCAGCTTTAATTGCTTTACAGGGACAATGACAGGTGTTGTTGAGCTGAAACTTTGTTAAACACTGCCCCCTCAGTGTTTGCACACAGACTGTTTAATTTAGGTGGTTGTAACGTGGAGACCTCGTTCGCTGTACAGTCTTAGACATGCAGAACGTGGCGTGATCATTTAAACGTTAACACTGTGGCACTAAGTGAAGTTCTGAGGGGCGAGCCGGGAATAATTAAATTGTTAATCTTAACTGTTAGCTGATTGTGTGGCATTTTCACTCAGAGCTGTTAGCAGCTGATTGAGCATTACAGCTGACTTCTGTTGCTCTTTGGACTTTGTCACTGTCTCCACCCCTCTGACCACCCAGTGTGCAACAGTATTATTATTTTTTTCCCTTCCCTGACGCTCTCTGCACTCTCTCTGAGAGTGAAGGTGAGGAAGGAATAGTAGGAGTTATAAGTGGGCTCTTATGGCAGGCCAGCTTTTCCGTGAGTGAGCCTGGGCAGGAAAAATGGTTTTTGGCATGGTGGATACCCCTCAGGGTCCCTCATCTTCTGATACTCCATGTAGACTGGTATGTTAAATTTTCCAACATGACTCACCTTTGCCTTATTATCGCTTCACAGCTCTGACACCTGATGAGTCTCTGGTTGCTGATGACTTCAGATGTCTATTTTCTGGCGTGTATCAGTTTTAAGCAGTTGGTATTTGTTGTTTGCAAAGCATTTTGTTTGAACATGTTGCTTAGAGGTGTTGATGCAGCAGGTTTTGCTTGGAACTGCCATCAGAAGCAGTCTCTGAAGTCTGTTTATGTGCTGAGATTTATTTGCTCGCTGCTTTAATTGGCATCAGTACCTGCTGGCTAGACAGGAATATTCAAGATTAGCTCATCTTTGAAATGACTGCCTTGTTGACAGCTGTAGTTTGTGTGTGTCAAATAAACAACAACTGACAATCTTATTTATCTTCCCCAAAACAACCAAACCACCATGGTGGGTTAGTCTCATTCAAATTCATAATCATAAGAAATGTGTAGAGCACTGTGAGTACTTTGTATTGGGGCAGTGTTTGCTCGATGTTAATACTTGCATTCGGCCAACTAAAATAATATTTGCGCATATTAAATTCCACCCATAAATATGCCCAGCTAGTACTCCAGTAAATTACTAAAATTGTGATGGATGTGGAAGTTTACCGCCTGAGTGCTTTCCTGTAATGCAACCTTATTCTGTTTTTGTGACTGCAGCAAAATGAGGTGACAGACAGTGCATACCTGGGCTCCGAGAGCACTTACAGTGAGTGTGAGACCTTCACTGATGAGGACACGGGGGCCCTTGTACCTCCTGAGATGCACGAGGATGTGGAGACGGACAGCGGCATCGAGGCCACTCTACACGACCCTGAAGATGGCAGCAACAGGTTGTTATATAAATTTCATGTCAGTGTTGGCTGCTATGCCTTTATTTCCTGGGGAAAAAAAGAACTTGTGTGTTTGTTCAAGGCTGAGAAAATTGGATTGTAAACTTCAGTGTCTTGAGTCATACATCATCCCTTTATTCCACTTGTCATGAGATGTAGAAATCATGTTTGTAATGGCTCCTGGGTACAGAAATCTCCCCCAAAAATGTGTGTTAAATCTCTAGCTGAGGGTTAGCCCTGGAGCTGCCCTGCACTGCCCTTTTACACAGATCATGTGGTTTATGGGTCTTTCGTGTGTGACACTGGATCACTTGGGTTCTATGTGGGTCAGCAGACAGGCAGATTAAAGAGAGGCAATAGACTAACTTAATGCCTTCAGTTCCCCTGAGGTCATCCATGCGTTACTGTGTTTGTTGTCCTTAATGGAGACACCTGTATTTCAGCAAAATATCAGTATAGATGTCAGTGGTTGATTTACCTGCTATCACTTAAATTATGTGCTGGTAAATTTCAAAAATGGTTTCATCCATACAGGAGACAAAAGGTTAGTTAGTAACTCTCTGTAATAAAGACTTTTGTTGTTTTGGCCAAATTGTTGTTCTAAGCTTCAGTATTGCCTCAAAACTTCGCCGGCAGAACATCAGTAATGTTCTTTAGCTTTTTTCTTTCTTACTTTTATTTTTCCTAGTGAAATCATACATGCTATAGAGTATTTGGGGCGAAGGTTCATAATCAGTGAGAACATTCACTGTTAGTGTTTTTAGTATGACTGAACCGGAAAGCTTATTCAGAGATAACTTGGAATCTGCACAGTGTAAGCACAAGAAACCTTGAACACAGAAAGCCCTTCTACTATTCTTTACCTACGGTTGTCGGAGTGAAGGAGTCTTTTTACTGACCTGAAAAGAGGCTGAGATCTACTCATCTTCTCTGGTTATTTAGTAAAGCTGTTTCTAATAACAGCAGGTGAGTTGTTTTAAAAGTTCTCTTTGCTAAAATTGGTCATTGTGTGTTTTCAAAAATAGTTTTGTTTTTTGTTTTTTTTAAAAATCCATTCATGGTGAATGTGGGTTTAATTGTTTTGCTCTGGACTTTCTTTTGTTTTTTGTTTTTACTGTTAAATTTGAGGTTGTGCTCTGTAAAGCGTTCAGTTATCTCAGCACCAGTGCAGCCCACTCACAGTTGACAAAATTAGTAAAGTCTGCATTCCAGATCTACAGACTAGCGGGAGGTGAGGGTTGGTGTCTGATTCTCACATTAATATTTTCGTCAGTAGTGCTTGTTTAATCGAATTAAAGACTGTAAGATCTTTTTTTTTTTTTTTTTTTGTCTCAAACAGTCGGACACTTCAAATGACGGCCCACATAAATAACAGTGCCGGTGGCTGTGGCAGATGAGATTTATGTCAGCATGCAAGCGTTCTTGTTGATACAGTTTTTAGGGTAAACACGAGAGAGGAAGTGCACAGCTATGTGGCTTCATCTGCTGACTGTGTGACCTGTCTGTCCGGCTTGGTGACGGATCGGAGTGGACTGCCTGACATGGATGTGTTTGGACTTCCCATTCCATGTGTGAACCTTGAATTCCAGGAAGTGTTGAGTTGGCTCTTTTTTTTGTGGAGTTTCCCCCCATTTTTTTTTTATTTTTTTTTAGCAAGGCTAATCTGATTCTGCCTCTCCATTTACTCAAGTCATCACCCACACCTCTAAGTCTGACTCAAAGTTACATTTTAAAGTGTTTATATTCACTCACCTGCTTACTAAAAACTGGAAATGCATTAATTGCCAAAAAAGGACCCTTCCGTAATACCAGTGATATCATCAATCCTGTGAAAGGAGATTAGGTCCTATTTAAAATGTTATTACTGTCCAACACTGATGTCTATATAAGCTTTTTTTTAATACAGCTTCCTTGTCAAATACAATCTTTGGCTTACTGTGAGCATTACTGATGAAATGAAACTAAGTGGACGCTACGTCAGCTGAGGTTTTGCCATGTAGCATGGTTAGCTGAGCGAACCCTAGCTCGAGTCTGCATTCAAAAGAGATTTTAGGATAGGAGTATATGCACTGAAGTGGGGATTAAGAATCTAACAGGATTAGCCACCTCCTCCCTTCTCTGTCCTACCCCTGTGTCCCCCACACACATTTGGCCCTTGGACAGTCAGCAGGGCTGTCTGTTGGTCATTGCTTAGCTTCAAATCTGATTAAGCCACTCACAGTCAGCCTTTACCAGTACACGGCCTTAAGTCTTTGCGGCAGCAGCATCCGTCATGTAGCGCTGGCAACTTGCAGCTCCGCAGGATTTGTTTTCTCCACACTGGAGAGTGGTGGTTTTTGTTTTTTTTTTAGATTGAGGTAAACTGTGAAAATTCAGGATTCCACTCTGGTTGTCAGGGGTTTTAACTCCAGTTGCTCCGAGGCTTTCACGCCAGGGCAGCGGAGGGCGCTTAAAAATGCGTTCTCTCTCGTCACCGTCTCTCTGTGCGAGGGACCTCAATATGGGGCCAAGTAGCAAGAGCCTGAATAAAGGGTGAGTAACAATAACATTGGTTTTGTTCAATTTAATCCGTTCAGCTCGATGCGTTTTTTGTTTTGGTTTTTTCGCTAAAACTGAATTATTACTTAAGAGTGCTTAGGAGTGTTGGCTTTGGATTAGACAATAAGCAAAACAAATCATGTCACGATGCGCTGAAAAAGCAGAGATTTCTGCTGATTTAGGCATCCTCTTCCTGTAAGAGTGTGTTTGTGCACATTTAAGACCTCCAACATCCTGCTGGACTACAGGAAAGCTCTTCTCTGAACCTTTCCTGGTACATGAAAGTAAATCTTGTTTTGTAACTCAAATTTACTATAAAGTCCTTAAGACCAGCCCTCCACCTGAATTATGTTTTGCTGCACACAACAGCCAGAGCAGTCATGTGGGTGAAAGTCTCAGGTTTTTCAGTAAGCTTGACCCACATTAAACACCACAAAGACTCCAGTCACATGTCTCAGGTGTTGCCCTTGAGGTTTTGCATTAACAGAGTACAAGACATGTTGTTTCAGCCAAAAGCAGGCCTCGGGATTAATGTGAATTAACAGATTACCTTTGAAGACGAGCGATCGAACTTGTCCAGACTGTTGCTCTTCTCGAGGAAAGATTAATTGTGCTTGTTTTGATCTGGTTAGATCCAAGATTCTGAGCTTTAGAGATTAAGGTTTGTTAAGTTTATGGAAGTGTGGCTATTTATGCTCAGACAGATGTTACTTCTGTCTTAACCTGGCACTTTTTTTTTTCCTCTTTTCTTTTTTTAACTTGGACTTGACATTAACAGTGTTGTTGTTTACGCCTGTGGGCACGCTCAGCAGCTCTTCCACTGTGTGTTTCAGGTTTTCCCTGAACTCAGAGCTCCATAACCACTCCCTGGTGACGGTCATTGGTGGAGAGGAGGAGCACTTTGAGGACTTTGGGGAAAGTAACACTTCAGAGTTGCTGCTGGAGAGCACCACAGAAGGGCCCGAGGGAGAGGGTGACTCCCATCTCACACAGACGCCTGAGCAAGTCAATGGCTCAGCATTGCGCTCCCCCAGGTATGAGCTTGTCTTCCCTACACAACTCAACTCAGGCTTCCCGAAATTTAAGTTATTTGTAGTGCAAGTTATTTCAAATTTTAACCCAAAGTCTGTAGATCTGAGAAGCCATTAATAAGTGTAACCTGCACAAAGGTTATTTCTAAACGACATGAATCTATGAGAATTTAGGCTGTGAAATCATGGCTTTATTTTTATCAGCCCTTCCTGATAAGAGGTGTGAGACTGTCACATTCTCAGATGTGCTGTCCAGGCCCTGATGCGTATCTTTACATTCTTCAGAGAAAATGTTTCTCTTTTAACAAAGACACTGAGGTCAAGCATTGATAAGACATATCTGGAGACATCCTTGCCACCACTGTCTGCCTTCTTTTCTTGCCAAGGGAAAGATAAGATGGCCTGAACACAAAGTTCATTCTGGTTTAACTCTGCTTGTTGTAACAAAACTGAAAATGTGGATTTATTTCTCTTTTGGATGCTTCTTGGTATCCTTGGACTAAATGTGTTTTCAGTCAGTGTGTCTTAAAGGTGGCATCTGTTAGTGCAGGTCAGACAAAGATGGATGTTTTTGTTGCACTGAGTTTAGACGTCTTTAAGAGGCTCCAGCTGTGTAAAGTGCCCATTTAAAAACAGAAACGGCACCAGACACAAACATATTCACGCTCTGCACCTTTATGTTGAATAAAGCTCCTGTTTTAGCCTTTTCCCGCTCATTTGTTCCCTTCCCCCCTCCTCTTTTTCTCATCAGAGACTCTAAGCCGGATAATGTGTAATATTCGCTTGGGTGATATTTCAGTGACTTGACTTGCCAGGAAGCTCTTAACAGCTAACTGCCTAGTTGTTGTAGCCTACGGACAATGCAGAAATAAGATGGGGTAACTGGATTGGCACTAATAATACCATTTCAGTTATTACTATTAAAGACGTCAAGTACAGCCTCACTCAGTTCCTGCTGTTTTAGTAAAGCCTTTGTTAACATTAGAGGAAGGCTACATCACTATAGATGTATTATAATTCTTAGATTTTTGTTAAGTATATAAGCTCTAAATAAATATTATATAATATTTTTAAACAGAAAGTGCATCTTTTCCCTTACAAGTTGAGCAAAAATCTGTTTAGTGGATAGACTCGAATCTCATACACAGAAAATAACCGCATCCCACAAGCTTCACCCACTCGGTGTGAATGCGTCACCGTGTTTTGAGCAAATCATGCTCATTGTTGGCGCATGTATCACTGCTGCCTACACACACACACGCCCCCACATTTATCTACATATTACCGTACTGAGTACATGTGCACACTCTGTCGGGTTAGTCCTGTTCTGCACAAACACACATCGCTGTGGGCATCGTTTAACACGCTGTCAGGAGAAAATTGCTCAGTATGATGCTGCATATGGCCATCGAGTGACTCTCAGTCTGTCGTGTAACGCAGCCTCTCTGCCTCCAGGAACCGAAACAGGTGCCAGTTTATTAGGTAATTCAGGTCTGACTCTCCCTGAATAAACAGCAGCTGGTAGACGTGATGTGCAGAGAGCAGCAAGGAAATAAAATTCAGGCAGGCAAATTAATGGAAAAAAACTGTATTATTAGGGTGTTGGATCAGCTTTGTGAATCTCTGATTCGATGTGTTTCGAAGTTGCAGTAAGAGCTTCAATAGGGAAAAAAAAAGGGGGGGGGGGTCTAATCACTCAATAAAGATAAGCACAGTCTTTATCTAAGAGATGTTTTGTTTCCTTACACTATCCAGAGCACGAGTCACAGCCACACTGTCGTCTGTCTCACGTCTCCTCTCAGCACTGCAGCCTTCACTTGTCACTCTTTTCAAACTCTTCTGTGGATTTCTCTGATACCCCAGTGGTGTCCCTTCCCACCTGTGTTCACCCCCTTACTTGTCCAGCACTCACCACATCCTCCCTTTCCTTTTCTTCCTCCTTGTTTCCTCTTTCCAGTGCACCCACTTCTCCCCCTGGCTGCTTTCAGAGCTTCCTCAGGGAGGAGGCGCTGGACTTTTTCTGTAGCCAGTGTCACAAACAAATAAGTCGTCTCGAGGACCTCTCCACTCGCCTCAGTTTCCTAGAGATGACTAGGTAACACGTCATTCACAACCTCCTCTGGGTATAAGCTGTGTGACTGTGTGTGCAGTGCCGATTAGATGCAGTGTCACGCATGTTGTCATGATGATTGCATGACATTGGCATGATAGATAGCAGCGTTAGCATGTAGTATATATTAATAGAATAACATTGCTGATTTTCTTTTTTTCCCATCGTTACCATCTTAACAAATGATTTGTGAGTCTTAAAGAATGCTCATTTGAAAATAAGCATCATAGTCTGATTTTCACGTTTCATTCATTTGAGACATTAGCAGTATGAAATAATCACAGCTGAGTGGTGTCTGAGTTTCTTTTCGTTCCTCACATCATTGACTTCATGCTTCATTTGACTTTGTACTGAATCCTTCTGCTAGTCAAGTGAAGGATCCTGCTTTTATTCCGACTTACTCGGATCCATATTACAGACACCCAGTAATTCCCAAACTTGGTTTATTTACAAACTGTAAATTCACAAGTATGTAATTCATTTTTGCCAAGTGCTGAAATTGCTATTTTATTTTAAAGGTTTCTGTAATACTCACATGGGTGTGTGTTAATCTGTTTGATCCTACATCAGCACCTGTTGGGTACGATTGATACATGCTGGTTTGTTGGTGTTCAGAGTGCTGTGGTGTGTGAATCCCTTGTAGCTTTAGTTATTATTCATCAACATGTTTTGTTTTGCTAGTAGATCTGCTAGTAGACAGAGGGATGAGGGGTTGGATAGGGATACCAAGCTGCGGTGTCTCTTTCCTTTTCATCGTTTTCTCTTCCTGACCATTTTTCCTGTTGTTCTGTTTCTCCATCCAGCGCTGGCAAGCGGCTATCCAGCAAGAAAGTGGCGAGGTAAGCCAAACTTTAGCTCTGTATTCTGTAGATATCAACTCCTTTTTCTAGTATTATTGTAATTAATGGTTGTTTTTGGAAGCAGTTGTTTATCAAATATGAGTGGATAAGATGGAGTGATGTTTTTGCTCTTTACATGCAGACACCTCCTCCAGAACAGCTCAATGACTCTGGACACCATGAGCGACTTGACGCGGGACATCCTGGAGCTGGCTGACAACGACATCACAGACAAGGTGACAGTTGTGGTTACGCCGAGTGAGCTGCAACAGTTTTCACCTGTTACAGTTGTTGTGAAAGAAAGGAGGAAAAAATTTATTGGCAGCCAGATCGATCGGTATAATTGTTAATAAGTCAAAACAAGTGTTTTTTAATTTTTAATAACTGTGAAATGTGTATACTGTCCAGGTGCTCCTCCTTGAGCGCCGAGTGGCAGAGCTGGAGAAGGAGTCCGAGGCTTCAGGGGAGCAGCACGCACGCTTGCGCCAGGAGAACCTTCAGCTGGTGCATCGGGCCAATGCCTTTGAGGAGCAGCTTAAGGAGCAGGAGCTCCAAGCTGACGAGGAACTGCAGCAGGAAACCCGGCGTCACAAGGAGGCCCTCAGCAAGCTGGAGAGAGAGAGAGGGTTGGAGATCGAAAACATGCAGGCGAGGTGAGGAGACTGCGAGGGGGGGAAATGGGTGTTTTTACACCTTTGTGGCTCCACGAAATATCAAAATATAGATTTTTACTGTATTTAATTTACTGCTTGTAATTATAATTATAAATGCACTTTGATCCCTTGTGCCTGCAACAGATGGGTTTTTGCGTCGTTTATATTGAATGGTGTTTTATAACAGCCTTGCTCATTGTGAGAAGAGGTTTTTTTAGTTTTTTTATTGAAGGACTCATGGCTCTGCACTGCCACCATATGGCAATAATCTTCCACTGACGCTACTTTTTTTTTTTTTTTTTTTTTTCTCTTCCCCTTGTGCAGTCAGATTGTTAAATATTAATCAACTGAGCTGTTGTGGAGTTTTTGGTTTTGGTGTGTACTTTTGACAGATCTGTGCTTGTTCCTCAGGCTTCAGCAGCTGGACGAGGAGAACAGTGAGCTGAGGTCCTGCGTTCCTTGTCTTCGAGCAAACATCGAGAGACTAGAGGAGGTGATGACATCATTGTCACGTTGCTTTGTCTTTTCTCTTTTGTGGTCCTATCATAATCTTATCTCCTTTGCATTCACTTGTAGGGACTGTAGCTCCAAAATGACAACACAGGCACGGCTTCCTCAAGACGGGCGCTTTGCTTCTATTTATTGAACGCCGTGAAAACTATAAACATAAAACACAAAGGCTGTAGGCATTTCAGTCACTTAAAAGTAACACATGTGCTTTAACAAAAATTACCTTGTGGCCGCCTGTCACTTCAGAGGTCCTAGACGAATAACCTTATAGTCTTGTGCATTCTAAATTAAATAATTAGAACACCATACATTACAAATTTGCACAATATTACACTTACAACAAATACCTTGTACAGCTAGTACACAAACCAGACTTCTGCACATGGCTCACTAAAATCCTTTGTGTGATTATCAAACACAGGCCTCACAGCCATCACACCCAAACCTCGTGATAATAGCGGTGCAACACAAAATTGTTCTTTGTGCCAAGACGAACGCATCTCATACACCAGATAAAACACACCTTCACAATATGTTCCACAGAAATTTACAAGCAAAAACATTTTAACTGCTGGAACGAACCATTAACCTCTTTTATGCAGAAGCCATTTCTGTGACACTTGCAAGGAATTATTTTATAATTGTTTTTGTCTCTTCTTGCTAACACTTCCCCACGTCTTTATTTTTTATTTTATTTCCTTCTCCAGGAGAAGCGGAAGCTGCAAGATGAGGCCGAAGCCATGGCCGACAGGCTGATGGAGGAGACAGAGTCTCGCAGGAAGATGGCCGACAAGCTGAGCCATGAGCGCCACCAGAACCAGAAGGAGAAGGAGTCCACGCAGGAGGTCAGACATGTTTTGTTTCTTTTCTCCGTTTGAAATGCGTAGCACAAAAATATAAAAAACAGAATACAGCTAGATCCCATCATATTAAAATTTTACATCATCTCGTTTTTTGTCATTAACATCATTTTTCCTCACATCCTTGATCTGTTTGTGCCACAGCTGATTGAAGATCTGCGAAAACAGCTTGAGCACCTACAGCTGTACAAATTGGAGGCTGAGGCAAAGAGAGGACGTTCACCTGGAGCAGGGCTGCAGGAGTACCAGACCCGCACCCGTGAAGCCGAGCTGGAGCAGGAAATAAAACGACTCAAACAGGTACCAAAAGAATCCTCATTCTGCTGTTTTTGTTGTCTTTGCGGTTTTGAGATGGAGAGGGGAATAATTTAGCAGCTGCATGGATTCACAGTGTGATATGTCTGCCTTAATCTCTGCAGGACAACCGTACTCTAAAGGAGCAGAATGACGAATTAAACGGCCAGATTATCAACCTGAGCATCCAAGGAGCAAAGAATTTGATGTCTGCATCCTTCTCTGACTCCCTGGCTGCAGAGATCAACTCTGTGTCTCGCACAGAGGTAGGTTGAGGAAATGAGGAAAGAAGTCGTGAACCGCATTCGCTGTCGGCTTTTCCCTCACTTCTGCTTCTCTCTGTTTCCAGCTGATGGAGGCCATTCACAAGCAGGAGGAGATCAACTACAGGCTCCAGGACTATATTGACAAAATCATCGTGGCCATCATGGAGTCCAACCCCTCCATCCTCGAGGTCAAATAAACAGCCAGAGGGACTCTACGGACTGCAATTAAGAAAATTGGAGATATTTCTAATAGAGGATATAAAAATATTCTGGAAGGAGAAAATAAACCGTAACGCCCAACTCCCCCCATCAGAGAGGATTTAACAAACAGTTCATGGCTGTCGTTGACAAATAAGCTAGTTTATTTTTGGTTAAGTACCCATCGAATCTGTGCTTTTTGTGAGCGTCTGTGTCGGCCTTCCTGATAACACTTGGGTTCTGATGACGTCCATGTTGGTGGCTAGAGGGACCCAAGATTCCCCGTTTGAGTGAATGAATGTGTAAATGTGTGTGTGAGAGGGAAATATCCTACAAAGTAGAAACCCCTTTTCCAAACGATGCTAGAGCTAAAACCTGATCAGTTGTACCTAAAGGCCTTAAGTAAAAGGTGATCAGTCTTCATTAGTTATGCTACACATGCCTCAGTTCAGTCAGCGAAGGCTTGCTGGGATGGTGGCAGCATGATGGCTCAGATCATCTGAGCCGCGCTGAATCGTGTTTTTAAACAAAAGCCGTATGAAGCGCCGCTCAGGAGCCGAGTAGAATCTGTCCTTAACATTTTAAAAGTTTGCAGTGCTTCGTAGCACCGCGCGGCGCGCTTCTCTCCTTTAACAGAGCTCAGCCGTCTTTTCCAGGGAACTTCTGCTGGGTCGCAGACAAGGAATGCCGTGTGTGTGTGTGTGTGTGTGTGTGTGTGTGTGTGTGTGTTTGATGTGTTCAACATTCCCCTTTCTTGCTCTGGTTTTGGAAGAAGCTTGGCAACACTAGGAGTGGAAAACATTCTTGAAACCTTTAAGTGGTCTGTGTGCTTTATATCATTTATTTTTACAATGAAACAGGGTCCTGCAGGTCTTCAGGTGGGCTGGAAACACTACGCTTCCCATCACTCACTGGCACAAACATTTAGATATCTCCCATTTATTGCACAAAGTATAGGCTGGATATACTGACTTTAACTCTCCAGACACTTGAACTGAACTTGAAGGGAAGCTGGCGAGTGATGGTGGAAACTGTAGTTTGGCTTCAGTGAAGTCCAGCCCACCTGACCTCTGCGTTCTCTTGCTGAGTGAAAGCGACAGGGAAGCTTATCAGTTTTTGTTTTTCCTTCACGAGCGATTTGTTGTCAGTGGAAATGTCGTTGTGACTGAAACGCTTACAAATGACAACTGAGAAGAATCCAGACTTTGTCTTTTGCACTACATTTTGATTTAAATATTGTTTTTGTTGATGGAATAGAAAAAAAATGTTTATTGTAAAGGGATGAAATCATAAATGAAGATTGTCAAGTGTGGGATTTGTTCCTGAAGGAATCCCACTCATGCTGTATTGGGGGAGGGTGTTACATTGCTCTAATATAATTACATTAAATTGAGTTTATTTAGGAAAAAAAATCCTGCAGCCATGACTTCAGATTAGTTTGTCATTGAGAGCTCAGATGAGCTTTCTGCTGACTGTCAGCCAGACCTAATCTGCATATAACATTGAGGAGAAGTGGCAGACCTTGGTAGCAATAATGCTGGCCCATGAAGTGGACATTGATGGGTGGGTTGAAGGGACAGGATAAAGAAAAGCTGCTCTCCATTTCCTCTGCTTAAAACGTTTCTCCTTATTGCTGTAATTGAGGACGGCAAGAAGGAACAAGGACTGATTCTGTGCTCATCGGTACTCTGCAGCCATCTTCAAACACATGGACATTTTTTTTCCCCCTCTGACCTGAAAGTGGATGTTTAAGTTGGATTTACATGCCAGGCATCTTGTTGGACTCGTATCATGAAGACTGGGGGGAGGGGGTTATTTTTGTCCAAACAGCATGGCGTTCCGCACACACACGCTAAAATGAATTCCTGTTTTTCACACGTTCACCTCTGAAGTCTATCTCACCGCTCCTCTTCTTCACCTGCCACTCTATGAAAAATGGCCTTGGATGTAAATGACTTGTACATGTAAAGTTTTTTCTACACTCATTCTAGATTCTAGGTATTTTTATAGTCAGGAGAAAAAAAAATAAGAGCGTTTCTTTTCGTCTTATGCTGAGAGACGGCTGCCTGTACTCTAGCATGTAGCGTGTACAGTATCGTTTGGGTTTCTCTTTTCTCTCATTTTAAATCACATGCAGATATTTATTCGACTTACACTCTGATCTGTGATCTGTTCTGCTGAAAATATATTTGTACATTTTTGAATTCATGAGGGGAGGTGATTAATTCACAGTGAATGAATCTGTGGGCGAATTTACCGAATTCAGAGAGTTTAAAGCAAAGTTATATAATGTTTGGGGCAGTCAGCAAACACAAAACAAAGCTTGAATGTGACCTGCTCAGTGCGGTGATCTGTTGAGGTCTGGGCTCTCTTCCATTGTGCTGATGCTGCTCTGACCTCTTGGGTGTTGTGATTTAGATACGGCTGAGTCTGCAGTTTTCTAATGTCGTCTTCCCAGATGGAGTCAGGTACTGCATGGAAACACAGATTTCTTAATGTATATTTTACTTGTTTGACTTGTTCTCACTGAAGAATCATACGCTGAAACATCGGACGGCAGAGCTGTAGGTTGAGACCTCGACGTGACACACAAAACCTCGTATCCAGGCTCTATGTTCAGCTTCCTGCCCTTTTTTTTTCCTGTGGTTCTGGGGGTTTTTTGGGGGGGGGGGTTTCCACGACAGATTCTTTATAATACTGAACCATTATTATGCTATAATGTAGAAACAGGACGACACCTGCGCACAGTGGGATACATGACACTCGATTGGTGTTTTATTGTCTTTCTGACAGACGGTTTGATGACTGGCGACAGTTTGATTAGTCGGTGAAGCCACAGAGCTGACAAAATCTTTTCTTTCAGCAGAGCTGAAGGTGATTGCACTTTAACCAGATCTCTCTTCATTTTACTCCTGCCTTTTAAAAATGACCAAAGACATATTTAAACATTGACGGATCAAGTTATCCATTAGGATTCACTTTTATTAGCACTTCTCCTGTTCTAGTAAATGATAAAAACAAGCTTTCGGCTTGGAAAGGAAAGAAGAAGAAACTGGCCTGCTAGTCTAAACACTGTGCCTCTGTCTCAAACTCCTCTAAACTAACCTGATCATGAGCCCTGGGGAAAGCACTGACCACGTGACTGTCAGTTTGTTAAATTATAATGATGAAATCTAAAGTGTAAATATGAATTGTCTTTTTTTTTTTCTCCTTTTTTTTGTGGATTTCTTTTGTTTTTGTTTCTTTCATCTCACGCTCACTTCCAGTGTCCAAAGAAAGTTTGCTCAAGGCACAAACGTCACTACTGGAGTAGTGCATGGCTTACCATTATGTGACATGGGAAGATTAAAAGAGAATATTGTAGAGGAAAAAAATAAACTGTAAAACTATTTTCGAAGATAAATGTATAAATTATAACAGTATTGGTTACAGCTGTATTTTTTTTTTCTGAGATCCCCAAAATGATCTAATCCTAATTGTTCTTGGGGAGCTATAATTCAGTCATTGTAAACAGAGAAAATTTAAAGGTAAAGGTGAAAGTAAGATTAGAAAATAAAGGAATAAAATGATCTGTGTGGTATTGGCTCATTTTGTTCGCGGACTCGATGCCTTGTCTGATCAACAAACCACAGACGCCTCCAACCGGCCATTCACCCCCAGCTGCTGGAGTCGGGCTCCTCCTCGCCTTTCAGCACCATCTGCTGGTTATGCTCAAAACAACGCAAATCTCTCATGCTCAGTGTTTACAAACTGCCCAAACTCAGTGTGTCTGTTTTATTGTATTTTACACTGCTCAGAAATATTAGAGGAGTACTTGATCACCACAGTACAGCATAAATCAGTTAAACTCCATGTAGGTGGTATGAGGTGCCAATGTCCTGTGCTGACACCAACACCATTTCTGTCGGCATTTGCCAGAACACACCAAAATTGGAGCGGTTGTCTCTGTATTCCCCCAAGTAGCGACCAAGACACCAACAAAGAGACCTGTACAAACATAAAATTGTCCAGTTCTAATGAGTCTGTATTTGACATGACCACCTTTACTCTTCTGCACAGCGAAAGGTCACTCTTAGCTTAATTTGTCGTTTCTTTAAGTAGTCTTCAGAAATGGTTCTCCAGGCTTCTTGATACCATTTCTCAAGATGTGATGAACCGTAATGATCAACTGAAAGTCCAGATGCTTGGTTTAACTACAGATACAATTTAAAACTCGTTTGCTGACCACAAATCTTTTGCAGTTTTCAATACTTGTGTACTATTACCGGTACTTATGTAGCATAAAGACTTTTACCTAAACAAAGTACGTGAAGATTCGTCAGTTTGCTACACTATTTATCTCTGATCAGATACTCCAGTTACCAGCTGCTGAAACGTCAGTAGTGTTGAAATGTACTTTTATATCTTCGCCTTTTGATGTTGGCATTAAGGCACGAAGTCATTGTTTTATTTCTTGTTATATTTACAATAAATTATGCGTATCCAAGTGTGTTGTTAATCGATATGAGGGAGGTTATCCACTGATTAGACAATCTGCAACGTTACCAAAATAGATTAAATAAATCGTAGGTTTCTTGAACGCCACATCGGACCGATTATACCCGGAACCAATTCTATCCTGCTCACCACGAGCGTATTTTGGTGCTGCACTCTGGGAATCGCAAACAGCTACGGCGGCATGATTCTCTCGCTGAATCCACAGCTGTCCGTGGGGACGGATAATTTCCCCTGAAAATAAAGTCCTCATTTTACTGTGAGTGTAAATCGTGCTCATGAAAGCTCGTGTCGTTATAAAAATGTGCGGCTGCACATCAGCTTGACAGGCTAACAGCTGAAGCTAACCCATTCAACATATGGGACTCGACTAGACTTCATACTTTGTAGCACAAGTTTTTATTTCTCTGCTTTTCTTAGTAAGTTGGAGGCTAGACCTTGGTAGAAACACTGCTGCTTGTCGTTATAATACCGTTATAAAAAAAATGGAGTCGCTAACTACAAATACTGACGTGCGACTAACGGTGACCCGGTGTTTCCGCACACTCAAGTCATCCACGGACAGCTCAGACATCATTACGGCTCTTCGGACACTCCACTCCTACTTGGATGAAGGACCGGACAGCGCAGCCACCTCAGCTGAGCGTGCAGAGTTCAGGAGAGCTCACTACTCTTCCGCTCTGCAGCTGCTGGTCAGCAACATTCAGGCTGACTGGTTACACCAGCTGACAGCAGCCCAGCGCGCAGAGCTGTGGGACGGCCTCTTCCTCGCAGGACCTCCAGAGCAGGCGCTCCTGGTGCTGATGGATGCAATAGGAGAGCTGAGGTGGGTGGTGCTGGATGTGACGTGCTTATCATCATCATCTTCTTTAATAACCTTAATGCCTGTGTCTCGCCCCTGCAGACCCACCTCAAATCTGGACCACGTGGTCAGCATCACTGAGAAGTTCCTTCAGCGTGGTCGCCTGGCTGAGCTGCTCTGGTCCTACTGTCTGGAGGCAGCGCCCTCTGACTCGCCGCAGCTCAGAGAGACGCTGCTGGGGCGTATTAGCGCGTTGCCAGACATTACCGCCAACAAGCTACAGCTAAACAACAGAGCTCTTTTCCGTCCTCAGCAGTACTACCCACTGCTGGCCACAGAAATGCTCACCGCCCTGGAGCACACCTGCCAGGCACTCAGAGGTGAAGGGCATCTGTAAAGCAATGATGACACATTATTAGGAATACTACAGTGTGTGCCAGGAGACATCGTAATCTCTCATTCTGTGTGTTTGTAATTTGTAGCTGGAACGGACTGTAATTTGACTTTTGTGGCTCAAACACTTGGAAAAGTGTGTATCCAGGGGCACGGCGGTGAGTTTAAGGATGTATTTGGTTATAGTTGTTTGTCTCTGTACTGCAGGAGTCCTTAAGCTTTTTCGGGTTGAAAGCCAGCCTTCAGAACCTGAAAAAAATTCATACTCACGCTAAATTAAATAAAGATCAGCACATTAGAATCTTATTTTTCCTAAAATAAAAATATCAGTTTATTTTTCACCTGGTTTTTCAGTGGCTCTGCTCCCCACACTTTGCAAACCTCTGCAGTGTGTCCTCCCATTGTGCCACAACCTCCTGCATGTCTTTTGCTGTCAGAACATCCTGTTATTACTTATACTCCCCAGCTACTTTATTAAATGCACTTTGCTACTACTAGCTTTGCTCTCTTTTGCCATCAGAACTTGTATAAATTCAGACCATTCTCATTTTTTTGTCCTCACTTTTGTCCTGCTGCAGGTTCGGTCTTGGCTGTGATGGCTCCTCGTCTGTCCGCGTGCACGCGCTCAGACATGGTGTGGCAGAGGGTTTGCTGGAAGCTGCTGGAAAACGTTCCCCAGCGATGGATGGAGAGCGTGCTCACTGGGCTGGTGCAGGCTGTTAGTGGGTGAGACTGTTGCAGATTCAGAGAATCTGGGAAAGTCTTTTTATTTTATCCAGCTGTCAGATCTGTGTTTAATGGCGCACGTTTGTTGTATTTTTGTTTCTTCAGGCCGGACGCACTGGGCAGGATCATCGGAAACCTAGTGCTGACAAATAAAAAGGCTCAGTTTGTCATCACTCATAAACTTCTGTTACTGCAATATAAGTATGAGGTACTACAGTAACTTCCTCCCTGACAGTTATACGTGTTATGAATATCGTGCTTTAATCTGCGGCTCTTTTCCTAGACTCGTGTTCTAAGAATTATTCTTGGTTACCTCGCAGCAGACGGGGATCGCAGACCTCTTCTTATCCAGGTGGGTGGACGTGAAGTTAAGCAGCCTAATATTATAAACATATTAGAATATAAATAACCACTTCACACCCTCACTCAGCTGTGCTAATGTGTTAGTTAATGATTTTGGTGTTTTCAGGTTTTACGGTCTGTGTCCCAGGCCTGGGCTAACTCCAGCGCAGTGAAACACACGCCTCTGGAGCAGCAGTTATACGTCAGCAAAGCCCTCCTGCTGAGTGTGAGCCTGCTGAAAGACTCTGAGATACAGGAGCTGCGCTCAGGTATAACAAAGCCTTCTGCTTTGTGCCTCTGAGGATGAAATAAACCCTGACTGTTGGTCTGTTTTTGTTTGTTTTTTAATTAAGAAAGACCTCACGGAGCATAAGATCACTTCAAACTCCATTATTAACTATTCTGGAGCTTCTGTATGACCCTTACTAGATGATTTATTAGTTATATATTTTTACATCTTCATATTTGTGCACATTAAATAAAAATCAGTCAGAGTTTTCAGCAGTAAAATTACTACTGATACTAATCAGATACTACAAAACAGCTACTGAAGTAATAAAATACTTGATTAAACTGAAGTCAGTTACACTGACCGGTTGAATCCGTCTCTCTCAGAGTTACTTCAGTGTATGCTTGGCGGCATGCAGACCCACCTTGACAGCAACGTGGTGCGGATCAGGCATATGGGGATGGTGATTGGAGAGTACCTGAGCTCCCGCATGGATATCAATGGAACCAAGCTTAAATTTGAGGTACGGTTAATTTATAGCAGGAGCAAATATAACAAGCCACCACGAGGCAGCCTGTCATTGTTTGTACTGGACTGTGAGGCTCGTGTGTGAGGTGATGCTGTGTCGTGTTCTAGTACGATCAGGACGAAGAGACTCGTGAGCTGCTGTCTCTGTTGGCTCCCGGCGCCTGTGACGAACCAGAGGCTGAGCCCGTAAATAGGTAGGTCGTACTCTCTGTCACTTCTGCTTAAAGATGTAAAAAGATGAAACTGCCAATCAGCTGACTTGCTAAGTGATGAGAATATTATTTTTTAAGGATCCTGAAATGTTTTACCTAAAATTTTAAAAATGATCTGATTCATCTTAAATGTATGCAATATGTATTAAATACAAATACATAAATATTGTGTCATCTGTCATCTCCAGAGCTGACGGTCCTCAAGAGACCGCTGAAACAGCTGAGTCGGCTCAGAATGCATCGCAAACTACATCAGGAGCTCAGGCATTAAAAACGGATCCAGACTCTGATCTCGATAGGTATGTCAAGCATTCAGTAAGAATAACATCCTTTAAAGATTTTTTTTTTTTTTTTTTTAAAAACCCAACTTTTACATGTTTAGAGCATATATAAAAGTGCACGATTAACCTTTTATCACTCCAGTGACGATGAGCTCACTCCGTACGATATGTCTGGAGATCAGGAGATCAGTAAGGCGTCCCCGCCTCGCTACCTACGAGACTGCCTGGAAAGTATGACTTCACCCATCTCATCCCTGTTTGCCTTATGTGATCACCTGTGTCGTATTCTCACTCCAGCATGTCCTCATGTTTCAAACTTATCTAGTTTTAATATCCTCTGAGGACCCAGTGCGCGTGGAGCTCTCTTTGAAAGCTGCTGAGAGTTTGGTGCGGAAGAACAGTTTTGCAGCCAGAGAGGTACGACGGGAATAACATAGGATTTAAGATTTGAATATTTCCTCTGGAAGATAGGGGTAAAATTAATTGATGTTATAATGTAGGTGTTTTCATTCTTGTTTTCAGATCAGTGTCCAGATGTCCAAAGTCCTCCTTCATATGGACG